TTATCTTTTTGCTCTCTGCCACTGGCCATAGTCTTCGAGCTGTAGCGCAGTCCTCATGGTGTTGCCACGTCTCTTGCTGCCTCGCCTTGATGGCAGTTCCTATAGCTTCCTTCAGTGTGTTGATCGTCACAAGTGGTGGGTCATCTGTCACGGCCCCTCCCCTGGCCCCGTCTTTGGCGAGTCTGTCTGCTTCCTGATTGCCCACCACATTGCTGTGGCCTGCCACACAGCACAGAGTAGCCCCGCCCTGACGCAGCCAGGACAGTGCTTTTCGGCATTCCATCACAGTTTTCGATCTCACTGATCGCATGGTGATGCTTCTTAAAGCGGCCAAGCTGTCAGAGTATATTACTATATTATCCCCTATTATTGGTCTACCAGCAATTTTCTCTCGTATACAACTAGCCGCTTCCTTTATGGCGTAAACCTCTGCTTGTAGAACATTACAGCCATCCGATAGCCTTAAAGATCGTCGAATGTCTAGTTCCTCTGAGAAGATGCTTATATCTGTGCCCCCTGAAGTTGCGGAAGCATCTGTGTAGACTGCTATCTCCTGAGTGTTCATTACTCGGCAGGCCTGGATTAAGGGGGGGCTATGGGGGCTATAGCCCCAGGCCCCGTCATTGAGAGGGGCCCCCAAATTAGGAGAATTTAAAATCGAGATTCATAGGAGTTAAATCGAGATTAGTTAAATGAAAATGTACATATATTACGAAAAATACCGATTTTTCGTCACATATTGTTATAAATCTTCAATTTATTATAAAAGTAACTAAAACTGTATTTTAAAAACAATAAAAAAAATAAAATCCAGCCTGGAACACCTGCAACAGTGCAACAGAAATATATTTAGTCTTATTAAATATATTGCAACAGCCAACTTGTTATTCTCATAATGTCAAAAACAGACTCTTTTTCTTTTCTTTTTTGGGCGGCAAAACATTTTCCCAAAAAAATATCAAGATTGCTGCATAGACAATGGCTTGTTCTTTTTAAATGTTTCTGGATGGATGGATTACCGAAAGCCGAAAGCGCTAGGGGAATTACTCAGATTAGATTCCTCTTTTTTATGCTATTTGATTAGGTATTTTTGCATAGCGCATCTATGAAATAAGTGATTGCCAATAATAGATTTAAGAAAACAAGAACAATGATACGTTTTTGAATTGTGTAGTGTATACCAGTATTTTAAAAAATGTCATGTAGAAAATATCTTAGTGGATCTGCTAAACGTAAGGTAGGAATCAGTTTTAGCCTTATTACGCATTTACTGGATATGATCATTTATATAATAACTTTGGTATTAACAATTTAATTTACAATAACTTTCTTAAGTTTCTTCTTTTAAAAATAAGCGCATTAACATATAATAGGTACATACTTTCTCTGGGCCGCTTACAAAAGATAAAAAGACAAACGAATTGAAAAACTAAAAAGTCTCTCGTCATAAAGGCCATAAAATACTATTCCTTTTTTAAAAATAAACTTTATGAAAAATGAAAAAGAATTCCCGTATGCTCATAAAATATAAAAAATTCGAGAACTACTCCAATTTTGAAAATTGCTAAACAATACTCGTATTAATGAGAGATATTGATGTTTTAAGAGTTTTAAGCCTTATTTTAAGCAACATTTTTCAATAATATACAGTGTGTTCCGAAACTATTATGCCAAAATGTAAGGATTGGTAGATCTCGCCAAAATATTTTGAAATGGGTTACTATGGTCGGAAGAGCGTCGTTTTCAAAATAGAAGGTGTTAAACTTTTAAGAAAAAATCTATACAGGGTGGTCCACCGAAAACCACCCCGGGTTTCTTGCTTGTAAATAAATAATTCGAAAAATGCTCGGACACGTCGATTTTGTTTTTCAGGGAGACTTATTTTTTTGGTATTTGCACCCTCTTTGCTTGCACCCCTTTGCCGGAGTAGCTATCACCCTTAAAATTTTAAATGGAATAGAGGGTCGAGTGATACCTTGTTTTAAAGGTCTTTTGAGTCTTTTTATATCTGTAGAGTTTGAAGTCTCTATTGCAATTCGCGTTGAATGGTACGCCACTACTTTTTAAATAAAATTAGTATTATTTTTGAAATCCCCATTCAATTTACAACATATTTTATTTCTTGACTTTTTTTGTCCGACGCACCGTTTTCGCGTAAAAAAATAAAAATCATTTTCATGCATGACCAAATCGCTAAAATGTTACCATAAATTTTAATGGCAAAATTTGTAAAACGGCAAATTTAAGTTTAAAAAGATTTTTTATTTTCCAAAAACTTCTTTCTATGAACATAGTACGAACTAAAATGCCCAAAAACCTAAATTGTCGTTTTTCAAGTTTTACCATTAAAATTTACATTACCATTTTAGCGATTTGGCCATGTATGAAAATGCCGAAAATGGTTTTTATTTTTTTAAGCGAAAACGGTGCAATAATATTCAATTCAATAATATTTTGTTTAAGTACCGTAGGGTGGTATACAGTGGTGTAATAGATATTAAAAAAGATCGATTTTTTTTCTTAAAAGTTTAACACCCTGTATTTTGAAAACGACGCATTTCCGACCATCAGTTTTGGCGAGATCTACCTACCTTTAGATTTTGATACAATAGTTTCGGAACACCCTGTATTTTTAAATCTACGAAAACTTAGAGATATTTTAAATTAATTTCAGATTCAAGAAGAAAAACTAAAGAAAACTTTAAAATTGACTAAAGTAACAGACTTTTTTAGTATTTGCGAAACCCCTTTAACGTCAAATTCTGAGTTGAATAAAAATCAAGATCATGAACAACTGCCTTCTTGTTCAACTTCAAGCAATATTAGTTTAAGTGAAAATAACAGCAATGAGGAAAAAATAATCCGACCTGGGGGCCCCAAGGGTAGCCTATAGCCCCGGGCCCCCTAGGACCTTAATCCGGCTCTGTTACTCGGTTGCTTTCCCATTCTTCTCTTGTCGGGATGCGAATCCTTATCTTTTCTCCAAAATCATGTTTAGTGAGCATAATATAGTCCGTTTTCTGGTCTCGCAGATGTGGACTCGTGTTCACCATGATTTTTGGCCGTAACCGTAGTTGGTCTGGTTCCACAGATTAGATTCCCTTAATCTTAGGGTACCCTTAGCGGCCAGATCCTTCACGAGCCAAATCAATGCCAAATACCTTATTAAAAATAATTAACAATAACATTCAGAGAAAAAAAAACAAGTTAACCCGTTCTAATAGCAAGATACGTTTTTTACTGAATAAATTCATTTCGGCTAAATAAATTCATTCATACAGTGTGTCAATTTTAAAACTTCCCACCCTTAATATCTTTCTTGCAGTTAAAAATATGAAAAATTGGAAAGACACGTCAATTTTATTTGTAAGGGGGACACCATAGAATAACTAACTGAAAGAAATGAAAACTCCTATGTTAAAGCCTGGAAACACGCGCTCGACGCGATCCAAGCGGGCTACTGGCAGAACTAAAAGTTCGCGCCATATTTTTAAATGGACCTTTACTGCCAGTTCATAAGTTTTTTACTTATATTTGGTAATTACAATCTAGATTATGAATTTATTTGTAACAAAACATTTTACAAAATAAAAGTAATGTATTTTGATACAAATAAATTAATAATCTAGGTTGAAATTATCCCTGAAATTAGAATAAAACACGAAAAATCTGTAACTTTATTATTTTATTATAACATTGTTAAAATTACATATAACACATTCAACACTATACAAGTATATATAAAAGTTATCAGAATTTATACAATCAGTTATAAGTAATTATAAAAAAGGTTATAAATTATAAATAAATAATTTATTATATAAAAGACATATAGTTACCGCGAATATAATTTAATATAATTTGGTATAACTTTAATCTCAACTTTAATGACCTATTCAAATAGAAACATCTTACAATTCACATTATACCGTATGATCGAAAAAAAACGGCGTCCAGTTGGCTGGGAAATGAACATCGATGACATTTCCCGTATAAATTTACATATAAAATGACAGCGATCTTCATTCAATAGCCATCGCTGACGCCGTTTTTTCTCGATCATACGGTATAATACACAAAGCCAAGGGACAAAATTGTTATTAAATCTATTCTCGATGACTCGAAGCATTTTTTTTCAAATAAAACAGGACATATAGGGCTTATAAATAATACAAGGGTATAGAAAATATATAAATAAGTAAATACAAATATATTTTCAACCTAATGATTAATGATTATACTCTCGTTTAAATAAATAAATGATCTTTTTAAAATTACTTGTTTGTCTTTGCAAATTTGTATATTTAATATTTATCTAAAAGCGTACACTTACATAAATTACTGCACAACCTTTAAAATTAAGCTTTTAATATGTTATACAAATTCCTTGATTCGATATAAATACCTTAAATAAAACTTTAAAATTAATGATCTTCCAAATTTCTGAGACAGCCATTTTGTTGAAAGAATTTGTTTTGATTATGAGAAATTTCATAAAAATTATCACAGGGATTAATTAATCTTATATATGAAACTACTTGGCTTTTAAATTTCACAATCCTATCGTCCAAAATACTCTAAATTCGCAAAAATCCGTAAATATTCCCATAAAAACAAATCACAATTCACTTCCACTTCACAGAAACTGACAGACATTGCCAGATATGGAATGACGTTTATTTTTCAATTTATTTTACTGATCTAACTGATCCGGGTCACTTAGAAATTAAATTTTTATTAAATTATTTAATTATAATTGTTTCTGGCGAAAGCAACTTCATATCAATGTTTATTCATAGGGTAACAAAGCACATCACTGTTAAATTATCAACATTTTATATAAATATTTATATTTTTCAACTACTCCAACTACTCCAATTACTCCACAGAGAATCAAACGAATTGTTAATTAAACTATACTCTGTGGATGACTTGATAAAATCATGATGAAATTAAAGTCCCTAGATGAATATCTAGGGACTTTAGATGAAATTAAAGTCCCTAGATATATAAAGTACCGCAATTACCGCCATATTGGCGCCAAAACTAGCGGCAAATTTAAAAAGGAGGCCAACATTTCGCTGTTTCGGCTTTTTAAGCAGCTGGTCGGTCCGGCGCCAATATGGCCGACCAACATTGACAGGCAAGCCGTAAAATAAAATATTTATTAATTGTAATAGAATTACGTTTATTATCTACAGTTTACCTTCATTTTAACGTAATATCAGGTGGTATATTAATATTCAATTTCATAAATTTAATTTTTTAGGCCTATATATGTTAAGAGGTTATAAACGAATGGTTTCCGTACAAGTGTTTTTCATTTGTATTAGCATTTATTTTATGTTACCTTTTAGCGCAAAGTACGCCAACAGAAGTAAGTTAATAGGTAAGAAGAAATAAAGTTGGAATAACATTTAGAATTTTAGTACTTAATTCAGTCGAAACAATTGGAAAAACTTTGTTTGTTGATGAGAACGGGATACCTATACCATAAGTAAACTTTCCCTATTATACCAGTTATGCTGTAGTTAGTTTTGACAAATAAGCATGATTTAACGAAAGTCTTTGGAACTATGAATAAGCTACAAACTTAAATTTGAAGGCCGGCTTTTATACGAGAAAATTTTGAACCATGGTTGAAACAAATAAATGTAATAATTAAATTGATATGATACATACCTGCTATTTTTGAAATATATTAATATATTGATAGAAAGATTGTTTCAGTTAGTATTACTTCAGGTAGTTTCAGCATTTTAGGTATGTAATTGTGCACTTATTTTATAAATAACTTAGAAAGAAGCTTGGAACGCATAGGGGCTCTTTATGTGTGGTGTATAATTAAGGTTTGTATGTTATGGAGTCATTTTTATACAACAAATTTATTATTAGTTGAATAAAAGCAAGTTAATACCACATAATTCAATTAAAATATATTTTGCTCTGCAATTTAATGTTATATTTTTAAAACAACAAGTGTCATAGTCATAATGTTTAAGTATCATTATTATAAAAAAGTTATACTGCTATAAATTTAACATTGAAATAACTGTAATTATTGTTATACATAAATTAAGTAGGCATAATTTTACCTCGACAATATGTAAAACTTCAAACGAATCTTAACAATTTTATGCCATGTATAAAAATCAAATTTAAATCACACACTTTTATTTATAACTGACAGTATAAGACCAAATTTTTAAATATAACTTTACATGCTTACATTATATTCTTTACTTTTTATTAGTAATTACAATATGAACCAAAAAATATTAATTACTATCAATAAATACATAAAAACTAATCTATTTAAGTCCATGAAAATAACTATATAGTTAGCATATGCATAAACAACATTCTTGTTATTAGGATCAAATTTATTTGAGCTTTTTTTCATTGTTTTGGTTAATATCCCTGTTAGTCCTGACTGGTAAAACCACCTGAAGTGATGTCATCCAAATCTATATATGTATCATAACATAACTTATTCTTTTAAATAATTATCCTTCCTTTGGTTTGATGATAATATATTGTAGATTTATCTAAACTTCTTACTGCAAAATGTTCAAAAATTAAACTACACTAAACATTTTAGGGAATTATTACGTAGAGATTTCGCTTACACTTAGCATCCTTTTTAAAAGATATGTATGGTAGTTTGCAAGTAAGGTCTTTGTCTTGTTCTAGAGGTTGATCTCGGCCAGACCCACTGCGACCTTCCCAGATCTATTGTGGTCTTGTCTTGTTCTATAATGAAGTTTTATGTACCAGTAGGTTATACTACAAATAAGATTGTTAAAAATATTCACTGGAGCATAAATAAATTCAATCCACTACCTAACGTGTATTGAATATCGACGATGTTAGAAAACACATCAAATGGTGGCCTTTTCGTGTAATACACATTTCTTCACTAAAGATATCGACGCCTATACATTATTAACTAATAAACTTGTAGCATTTTAGTATTTTAAAATATGTGGATAAATATTTTTATCCTGAAATTGACAGCTTCTCAACATTTGACATGACAAATTCAGACAAATGTGACATTTAAACAGTCCTACCACTACAGTTTTTCCAGAAATACCCCAAAAATCCGCCATTTTGGCGCCAATAACATTGAACAAACCAATTGCGGTACTTTATATATATCTAGGGACTTTAGATGAAATTTCTACGCAGCGCCATCTATCCCTCTACTGGCAGAAACTCCGCCGTGTTTCCAAAATTCAAATGGCAGTTTCATCCGCCTGGGGGACACTTAAAATGAATATTTTTAGGCTTTTTTTTCAACCCCTTAGGAGGGGTTGATGTCACCTTTACAATCTTAAATGGGAATGGGGGTCAAGTGGCACATCGTTTTAAAGGGCGTTTAATTATTTTTTTCAGTGGTATCCTTCTTTATTGCTTTTTATCCAGAGGTTTCCGAATAATTCAAAGGTGCAGAAGCAATTAAACAAGCCCGATTTTGGTTTTCAGGTTAGTGTTTACACAAAAGTTATTGCAATGGATCGCCTTGTACTACAAATGAGAAGATTAGAAAAGAAGAAGATTAGAAGATTAGGTTACACCACTTACGCCTTATCTTATAAGTTGTTCAAAATGTTGTCCATTTTCCCGTAAACAGTAATAAAGTCTGTTTTCAAATACCTCCCTAACATTTCGGAAAATTTCACTGGGAATTGACTGACATTCTGCTGTAATCCGCCTTTTAAGATCATCAGTATCAGTAGATTGTGTTTTATAAACAATGGATTTAAGATGTCCCCCCAAAAAAAGTCTAAGTGATCTTGAAAGCCATTCAATTGGCCCCCTTCTGCCAATCCATGTACCTGCAAATCTCTCGTTTAACCACTTTAACCACTGTCGGACCGGAAGAAAATAATGAGCTTGTAACGTAAGGTTCTGAAGACTGGTCAATAAAACAACTACTGCCGGAAATATTATCTTTTTTATTTTCCACGCTGATGGTTGTAAGTGTGGTTTAGTTAAAGTTCTAAAATAAATTATAATTAATAAGTAACCGAGTTAAGGATTGTAAATCAATTTCTTACTGAACACCAGGTTTATACCCCAAAATAATAAGAATATAATATATTTGGTAATAAGTCGAAAACCAAAGGCTGTTAACACTTGTAGCGGTATAAATAAAATGGCGATCACCCGGATTTCATTATTGCAAAAAAGCGAAATTTATAAATTGAACTACCAGGGCCATCTATATATTAGTTTATAAGAAACCTAATGTTAAGATCCATAAACCTGTTTGACTATTATATTAAATTAATGTATTATATTTAATATTTCCCACATATTTTATTAATTATGCTACAAGCTGGAGCACCGTCCTGCTGAAAAGTTAACAATTCCTTCTGTGAAACTGATTAGAGGTTGCCACTCATTCGAATTTAAGAAAGGAAACGTTAATGTTTATGTTGTTTTCTGTTTATTAGTATTTCGAATTTCGACCCCTAGAAAAATGTAATGGCTACGTCCATGCTGCCACCTAATCTTCTAATCATTTGTACTACAAGGAGATCCAGTGCAATAATTTTTGTGTAAACACTAGCCTGAAAACCAAAATCTCAATGCAGGCATGTTTAATTGTTTCTGCATCTTTGAAACGCGATTATTAGGAAATCTCTGGACAAAAAGCAACAAAGTAGGATACCACTGAAAAGAGAATTAAACGTCCTTTGAAACGATGTGCCACTTGACCCCCATTCCTGTTTAAGATTGTAATAGTGACATCTACCCCTCCTAAGGGGTTGAAATAAAAATGCCAAAAATATTCATTTAAAGTGTCCCCTTTACTAATAAATTTGACGTGTCTTTCCGATTTTTCATATGTTTAACTGTAAGAAAGATATTAAAGGTGGGAAGTTTTAAAATTGACACGCTGTATACCCAAGCAGCATTTGGACGTCGGGACAACGTTGTGTCACGCGACCAAACGTCTGGGCGCAACGTCGGCACAATCTCGTGCCAACCCTAGTCTGCACTAGTTTGGAGAATAAGTTTTGGGTCGAAACGACGTTGGATACCGACGTTAGCTAGAAGCCTAATTTAGTACAAACTGCAACGTTGTTTAAAATCCTAATTCACAGAAATACAAAACTAATATGGCGTCTAAGTCGCGTTTTATATTAAATTGGGATAATTATAGTAAAAATATTATTTTTACGATTTAGTTAGAGACATATGTCAGATGGCAGTGAAGGAAAACAAAAGAAAAGTATTTAAGTGTGGAGGATGTTTGAAGATCATAATTAGTGAAACGCTTTAACCGACTCTGTAACTCGATACCCAAGGCAAAAAAGTTAAACGCCAACAACTTTATTGATAAATGTATTGTTTCTACTTTGAAAAATACTAATGGGCCTTAAAATTAAAGAAGTTTTAAAAATTTTCTTGAATTTTTTTTTAGTAAAATGAAAATAATTTATTCGCAGTCGAAAAAATTGTTTCCGCGTGTTTTTTAGGGTCAAATATTTCAAGTTAATGGATTCAAAAAGCAGGAATTGCTATTTTAGGAACGAAATATTTTCTTATTTAACAACATGGCGGTTTTCACTTTGTTGTTTTGGAGATTAAGATGGAGTAGTTCGAGTAGTCGCATACTGGACTAATAAAGTCGCAGTTCGGCCTTAACAGGTAGTATACTAGTCGCAAGATTGCCTAATTTAGTCATCCTAGAATCTAGCTTGTGCCGCCCTCTATAATCTAAATAAACGAGGGAGTGGATAAACTATCGGTAATATATGTCGATATATATTTAAATTTAGTTTTTTATGTACCTTTCTTATGTCCCATTTTAATTAAGTTTTTTTTATAAAAACAAAAACAGCACTGAACTGTCTGACTGAACAGAACAATGAAGTGAAAATTTAAGATTTAAGGTTATGGTTCAATACAGTTGCATAAAGGTAGTGACTCGACGTCCTACCAACGTAAGAATAAGGAAATCTAAACAACGTTGGAATTAGTAAAACAGACGACGTTTGCATAACGTTGGAATAGGTCCTGAAACTGACGTCGGAAAACTTTATATTGTCCAACGTTGTAACTACGTTGTCCGAATCACCTAAAGATCACTTAAGCAAAAAAAGGTTACAAGACAACGTTTATTCGACGTCGCAGAAGCTTCTACTTTGCTGTAGTACTAGTCCAACATCGGCAGAACGTTATAAAAACGTTTAAATTTATTTTAATACCAAAGGTAGGGAGCTAACTATTTTTTGTAACTAATCCAACGTTGTTTTTAGTAAACATGTGGTCGTAAGTCGTGAAAATGCTACTTGGGTAGTTTGTGAATCTGTGAGAAGAATTGAGAAACTGTGAAAGAACTGTGAAAGATTTTGAGAAAGACCCAAAAAAGGATCGAAACGTCAATAAAGATAATACTACCGCAACATTCTATCTTACAAACCAGACTTATCCTTATTTTAATTAAAGCAAGTTTCACCTTCCCCCACCACTTTATTTTATAAGATAGAGCAAAATACTCTATATCAAAAAATTACAAATTTCGCGAACGTTTTCCGAACTTGAAGTGCCTTACGATAAGTATAGTTTCTGAGATACAGCCGGCGTCAATTCTTAGTTGTCCACCCGGTACGTAATGAATAGAGCAATATATGTATTCACATGTTTGTAGCAATTTGTTTGCAATTCTATTTTTTTACCAAAATCCATAAAAAACAACTATAAAAATCTTAATTTAATAAAATAATTAATTGTCTGAAAAACATTCTTTACATAAAATTTGAAAAGAAGCAATATAATATTAGTAATAATAAATAGAATATTTAGAAACGTTTAGTTAAACTTCTAAAGCAAATATACTATCCTAGAAACGATATGAATTATTTCGTGTACGGCGTATAATTTACCCGTCCCTTTGTATTTCCTGACAGCGCTAAAGTCGAACAAAGTAATTTGCATGCTTAATAATTCAATCCGGCATTATCTCGGATGGCATACAAAAGAAAAGGCTCGAAGGAAACGTATCTAACGTTTGAAATTACATGAAAAAGCAATAGAAACTAGATAGAGATGGACTTAAATGGATTTACGAAACATAAACGATAATAATTGATAATTTTACAAGTTGCTTGACTCTTCAGTTCACTTAAAAGTTCCTTTTTTTTGCTACAAGGGGAAAAACATGTGCGTTGTTAGTTCAGGATTTTTACCCAATAAAAAACCACCTTGCGAAGATCAACTGCTCATAGAAGAGTGATGGAACCACCTATGGTAAAAGCCCCCACTGTCCTACCTAATTACCGTCATATTTCGATACTTTTTAAAAATTTAAGAAACTCAGGGAAAAAGTTCCATAATAAATAATTTTAAATAGTTGTTTTATATATCTGGAAACGCTGCGATACATCTTTTTTTAAATGGCGCACTTCATTTACGAAAAGTGAAATAATGACTATTTTAGTTGGAAGTTAGACATTGACGAGAAACCACACATTTCTTAGAATCTAAGCAGAATAACAGTCTTCTTGATTTTTTTTTCGCAATAATGTAATTTAGTATTCTAAGGTCCAAATATCATTAATTACCAGTGTAAGAGGTTTTCTATTGTATGTATTTATATAAAAATAAATTCACAGATTTTGCAACATGCGCAACCATCATAGGCGTATTGAAAATACCAGACACAAGTCAGCG